AAAAAAAAAATATATATATATATATATATATATATATATATACATACCTCTCAGACCCTTCTCCTTGCTTTCTGCTCCATCCTGTTTCACTGGCTTCCCAATTAAGAATGGGATTAAGTAGGTCTAATATCCACCCAACCTGAAGACATACGCCACTCAAAAATAAATTCCTAATTTACGTAGCATCACAATTGTTTAAGTACAGTTGCCACAGCCGAAATGCAGGCGGGAGACGTGAGCTCTGGTCCCGTGTCCCCTGCTGCGGCAGCCCGAGGAGCACGGTCCGAAGACCTCTGCCCTGGACCAGACCGGCTCTTACAAGGCTGGCGTCGCCGTCTGTGCTCCGTCTCCTGTCTGACAAGTGGGGAGAACAGCCTTCCCTCCTCTTCCTCCGAGTGTCATGAGGATGAATAAAACATAACAGGCCACCTTCGGTTCCTCAGGACACAGCCGCAGAAGCCATGATTTAGCCCGATTCTGGGGTCTCGGGGCGAGAAGTCAGGTGGTCATAAGCCTTCAGAGGAAGATTCCTTAAAGGTTCATACAGAGGTTTCTGAGGGAGTTCCTCTTGCTGTCCCCATGGAAGTCAACACCTGGACACACCCACGAAACTCTCTGGGAAGCCACCAAGGCCCTGTCTTGCTTTACGTCATTTTTCTAACACAAAGAGCAGAGAACTGTGGAGAAGGTCAGGGAAGGGGCATCTCCACAGACTGTGGCTTCAGGGTGATGACGGTGACGTGTTTTGTTTCATTTGTTTGGTTTATGTCACAAACTAGACAACAAATTAATGTGTATAAGTGAGCCCAAATGTCTCTGGAGTTAGACTAAAGCTGATACTGCCCTCTTCAAAGGATAAAATTTGAGACCATCTGTAACTTGCTGAAGCTCCCACCTCAACTCAACACACAGCACTGATCAAAGCCCACCCTGCCACGTCCCTCAGATTTAACTCAGCCACGAGGACTTCATCTCCCCAGAAGATGTGAACACTCAGCCTCTAAGACAGGGCACTCAGTTCCCAAGAACTCCAGGCGTGTTTCCCCTCCACTCCATGCCCTGAACTCTGTGCCCATCTTCCTGAAGTTGCTTCCAGCACCACGGCCTCTAGACAGCCACGTTTACCCCACATGGCCCACACCCTCCCCAACAGCTGACTGGGCCAGAGTGGGAACTGGACAGAGGACCCACTCATGGGCTGAGCTGAGCCCACTGACCCTCTTCTCAAGAAGTCAATTACTCCATGAAACACAGAGAATGAGTCAGACTGGACAGAGATGAACCCTGGATCTGAAAAGCCAGGTAGAGTTGAAGCCAGATTCAAAGAGGCCCTGTGCAAGTAAGATTTATGAAAAAGGAAAACTTCTTCATAGAGGAAGCTGGCCGCAGTGAAGAGCTTCAGCAGATGGATAGAGAGAAGCAGAGACAGGGACCCACAGGACAAGTGGAGAGAAATGCTCCATGACCACAGTGCCCACCCATGTCTCCTGCACTTCATTTCTGGGAGAGTTCCCTGTGTCTTTTCCATACCTCTCCTTTTTATTTTAGCTAGCTTGAGTAGATTCTATTCTTTGCAATCAAAATTCCCTACTGAAACACAAAATATATTGAGTGCCAATTTTATAAAAATGACATCTACACAGCACTCTCTTTATTTGATACCNATATATTGAGTGCCAATTTTATAAAAATGACATCTACACAGCACTCTCTTTATTTGATACCAATAATTACTGCCACCTCCCATGGCCTGTGGGAGGAGGTGGAAACCCAGGGGTGCGCATAACTTGGTGTTCCCAGAAGGCACACCTGGATACCACAGCATCATCTTCTCCCAAACACGCCTAGCAACTCCGCTCAGCCCCAGAACCAGCAACGCTAGAGGAACAGAAGAACTGAATGGACTCTCCCACTTCTGGGTTGGCTCTCAGATCCTCCCTCTGTCGTCAAACCACGTACCTCCAAA